GTTAACAGATAAACTCGAGTACATCAGTTGTCGCTGTATTCATTGAATATAAGAGCAGTTAACAGATAAACTCGAGTACATCAGTTGTCGCTGTATTCATTGAATATAAGAGCAGTTACCAGACAAACTCGAGTACATCAGTTGTCGCTGTATTCATTGAATATAAGAGCAGTTACCAGACAAACTCGAGTACATCAGTTGTCGCTGTATTCATTGAATATAAGAGCAGTTACCAGACAAACTCGAGTACATCAGTTGTCGCTGTATTCATTGAATATAAGAGCAGTTACCAGACAAACTCGAGTACATCAGTTGTCGCTGTATTCATTGAATATAAGAGCAGTTACCAGACAAACTCGAGTACATCAGTTGTCGCTGTATTCATTGAATATAAGAGCAGTTACCAGACAAACTCGAGTACATCAGTTGTCGCTGTATTCATTGAATATAAGAGCAGTTACCAGACAAACTCGAGTACATAGTTGTCGCTGTATTCATTGAATATAAGAGCAGTTACGACAAACTCGAGTACATCAGTTGTCGCTGTATTCATTGAATATAAGAGCAGTTACCAGACAAACTCGAGTACTCAGTTGTCGCTGTATTCATTGAATATAAGAGCAGTTACCAGACAAACTCGAGTACATCAGTTGTCGCTGTATTCATTGAATATAAGAGCAGTTACCAGACAAACTCGAGTACATCAGTTGTCGCTGTATTCATTGAATATAAGAGCAGTTACCAGACAAACTCGAGTACATCAGTTGTCGCTGTATCATTGAATATAAGAGCAGTTACCAGACAAACTCGAGTACATCAGTTGTCGCTGTATTCATTGAATATAAGAGCAGTTACCAGACAAACTCGAGTACATCAGTTGTCGCTGTATTCATTGAATATAAGAGCAGTTACCAGACAAACTCGAGTACATCAGTTGTCGCTGTATTCATTGAATATAAGAGCAGTTACAAGACAAACTCGAGTACATTAGCTGTCGCTGTATTCATTGAATAAGAACTGTAAACAGGCGACCTCGACTTCACCAGCCATTGTGAAAAAATGATTGACAAAGAGCTGTTAAGAGAGGTCCTTCTGATTATTTAGCTGGTCGATATGTTGGCTAATCTTCCTTTTTATATATACATGAATGAATGTATAAATCCATGTATATTGTCATATATGCCTGTATAAAAACCCTGGAATAATCTCTAAAATGTGTTTATAATATCAGACTGTAGACATAATACTCCATGTATCGGAAACCTATCTTGCAGCAATTCAAGATGGCGACTTCCTTCAATGAAAAAGGCAGATTCATAATGGCCGAGCTGGAGAGCCAGTAGAAATTCTCAAATCTCATAAAAGCCGAGTTTTCTCATAAAGGTCGTACATTTTGCATTATGTGTTTTATGTTCATAATGCCATGCAAAACTTCATATTAGCTTTACATTTGAAGTGAAAACTTGCCTTATATTGAAAAGATTATTAATAATGTACGATAATCATATACTTCAATGCTTGCCATTTGTCAATATCGATAATGGATCTAGCGTATCTAACAAAATAAACATGGAAATACTCCAGGCGATAGTAAATATTTAAAACTGAACTATAGTGATTGTCAGTGTTTTATCTAGAAAAAAGTGAAATGAGCAAAACCTAGGCTAATAAATAATGTCTTGCAAATATTCGCTTTGATCGGAGCAAAGGTACATGTATGTATAAGCGCAATGGTTACGTGGCTATAAGCATTTATACAGTATCTTAATGACAGTGCGGTAGATATTAAAAGCCTTTAAGTCATAATGGCTGTTAAAAGAAACACGAATATACTCTTATTACTTTTCAGATATTTGTTTTGTGTAATAATGATGGCGACAATATCGACGGAACAATTTTCGTATAACTACGCCATCAGCTCGGGCAACCGCTGTCGAAATGATGGTGGTCGATTTGGCTTTTACCAAGGGTATTCTATCACTGATTGTGTTGAAGAATGCGCCCGAAGAACACATTGTCAGGCATTGACATATGCTGGGAACATAAATGTGTGTGAACTGTACTCGTCACATGGAAGTGAAGAGTCTTACAGGGATGGACATTGTCTGTATGTGCAACGATTGGATATCAGAAATATAACGGTACATTTATGTTGTTTATCTAAAGCTTTACAGTATTTTTAATGTAAGTCCTGTATGTTGAAGATAAAAAAGTACATTAAAGACACAAAGAATTATATTAAAAGTTAGGTTTGTATCCCCCGACAAAATATGAGTGCCATTTTTATTTATATAATTAAAGATATTTTCGCTTATTTTAACAGTAGCATAAGAACAAAATCCAAAATACCCGGCATAAAACAAAAGTCTATGAAATGTTCTCGAACATGCAAGTGTATTCGGATATGACAACAACAACAACAACAACAATTTTGGAAATAAGAACAGCCACAACTACTATAACATTCTTCGTAATCGAGTACTAAGACATACGAGTAAATGTTGATATATGATCATAATAACTAAGTTACATTGTAAAGTATTTTTGAATATATATTTTTCATATTCATAACATGATTTGTTTGTCGTTTTGTCAGTATATCATACGTTTCTAGATAAATGATAGAGACAGATCGTATTTCAAATCTATTGACAAGTAAATTAATGAATAAAAGTATGTGCGTCTGCGTCGCGTTTATACATGTACTCGCGCATGCGCATGTTTGTGCTTTTCAAAATACTCACCATAGGTTAATTCATTACTTACAGATACCGTGTGGAGAATGCTACTACGGTCAAGTTTGTGACACAATCACAAAAACATGCCGCTACAAAGGTGAAGTTAAATGCAATAATTATTGTTTATTGTCGACAGATTATGTATCATATTTATTTTTGTTCAGAATAAATCATGTACAATGTAAAATATTATATATCCTCATTTAAAGCAACACATTATATATCCTCATTTAAAGCAACACGCGATCTAAGAGGACGCATGAAAACACAATATGTTGATTCGACAGTAAAAAAATGCACTAACTAGACTCCGCAGATTAGAAATTTCAACACAACGTACATACCTATATATATGTACATAAAGTTAGTTCCCTATTCCTTATTCCTTTTTCGAATAAGAAATAAGGAATCAGTTCCTTATTCACTTTTCGAATAAGGAATAGGGAACTAGTTCCTGATTCCTTATTCAAATCTAAATAAGGAACAGCAGAATTAGTATTTATTTAAAATAAAATTATCAGTAAACTAGAACGGGTCTTTCTTTCACAAATCTGTTGAAAACCGCACAAATCAATCATCAAAATCATAGAATAAAGCAACCGCATCGACCTATTTTTAAATAATATTCAAATCTAACAAAGATTAATGAACCCGTTCCTTATACATCATTGCATCAAGCATCTGCATACAAATAATTTTAAAATATGTTAAAGTCGAATAAGGAATAAGGAACCAGTTCCTTATTCCTTATTCAACTCCGAATAAGGAACAGAAGAAGATACGCCAAAAGAGACAGCAGTTCCAGTTATTATTGATATATCTGTATAAGAATTGCAAGGATCAATCATTAAAATCATTGCATAAAGAATCTGCATAAATTATTTTTTAGTAAAATGTTAAAGTCGAATAAGGAATATGGAACCAGTTCCTTATTCCTTATTCAACTCCGAATAAGGGGCGGAAGAAAATAAGTAAATAAAGATACCAGTTGCAGTTATTTTTGATAAATCTGCATTAGAATTGCAAGGATCAATCATTTAAATCATGAAAGTGTCATGCAAATAAAAGACAGTACGAAAACTGAAAAAAAAATGCATGAAAATAAACGCACGCTCAGAATAAAATTCTTTTTGAATATGCATTTATGTTTTTTTGAGTAGAAAACGTAGATGAAATGCCTATTCAACAAATCAGAAGTAGTTACAACAGCTGCGATAAAAATAATAAATCCATTAACCCCAAAGGCACTCCGATAAATTCTGCGTCACCCTTTCTCCATAATATTTGTCGCGTCATCTTTTGTGCCTTATATTGTCACTTCATCATTTGCGCTTATATTGTCACTTCATCCTTAGAACAGCTACGATAAAAATAATAAATCCATTAACCCCAAAGACACTCCGATAAATTCTGCGTCATCCTTTCTCCATAATATTTGTCTCGTCATCTTTTGTGCCTTATATTGTCACTTCATCATTTGCGCTTATATTGTCACTTCATCATTCGCGCTTATATTGTCACTTAATCCTTTCCGCTTATATTGTCACTTTATCATTTGCGCTTATATTGTCACTTCATCCATTGCGCTTATATTGTCACTTCATCTATTCCGCTTATATTGTCACTTCATCATTTGCGCTTATATTGTCACATCATCCTTTGCGCTTATATTGTCACTTCATCATTTGTGCTTATATTGTCACTTTATCTTTTTGCGCTTATATTGTCACTTCATCTTTTGCGCTTATATTGTCACATCATCTTTTGCGGTTAAATTGTCACTTTATCCTTTGCGCTTATATTGTCACTTCATCTTATGCGCTTATATTGTCACTTCATCCTTTGCGCTTATACTTTGCGCTTATATTGTCACTTTATCCTTTTGCGCTTATATTGTCACGTCGTCCTTTGCGCTTATATTGTCACTTCATGTTTTGCACTTATATTGTCACTTTATCTTCTATGCTATCCTTTGTATCTGATGTTGTCACACCAACATTTGTTTCTTATATTGTCACGTTATCATTTGTTACTTATATTGTCACGTTATTTTTTATTTCTTATATTGACCATTACTGACGAATAAGTATGATGGGTTATTGATATTCCACGAATAAATAGGTCATATACAAATGAACTTATATCAAATATTGTGAAATTGTGCTCATACTGTAAAATGCGCTATGAGGCACTACCGTACAGGGAGGAAGAAATGTATTGGACTTCCTTTTCAATTATATAGTACATATTTATTTTAGTTTGTGGTGAACCAAAGGGAGATGGTGCATACATAACAGCTGGGGAAACAATTGAGGGGTCAGTAAGAAATGTGACATGTGGTCAGAATACGATTGACGACAACAATGCTACTTTTGAAATTAAGTGCATGGCTGACGGTTCTTGGAAACCAGACATCATCTGCCTTAAAAGTAAAATGATTCATTGCTATTTTTAAATGAACAACTTACATGTTTCTCAAGATAAATATTTCACCAGCATATGAGCTTATGAGCTTTTGATTTTACGTTTCAAAATATAAAAATGTTTAAACGGGTTTGTCCAGAGATTATTCATTAATGTCATAAACTAAATGATAGAAATCCAATATATTTTTTTCCTTTATTTTGTCATTTTAATCTTCTTTACCACATTCGTAGGAACATTTTTTCATTAGAAAAAATATAGGTTCATATTTTTATTTGTTTCTGCTGCAATGTTTAAAAATCTTATTTTGAAAATTAATGTTCCCATGAAATGTGTTAATCAACGTCATTCTTAAAAGATATTTAAATACTTTACAATAATTTTTTGGTTTAACCAGAATATGCAATTTTAATAGAAAGATATTAACAGTTTAGCTTAAATTTGATATTTAATTTGTTTTTCATGATACATGTGAATGTTTTATTTCAGATGTGATATTTAGGGTTGTAACTGGGAACGGATTAAGTACTAGTTCTGCATGGAAAAATGGAACCGGAACAACAGCTGACGTCCACTGCCGTGTTATTTCAACAAACACAAGCTGCAATGGTCACTATAGAGACCCAATAATTGACAAATGGGACACGCTTAATGTTCAAACTGTGAGTACATAGAATTCTACACATAGCAAATATTTTATACAGATTCGGTAACTATGCACAACATGTATGATGTATGTTTGGTACCCCATATGTTTTCCATCTGTAAAACATATGTGTTTTGAAAAACATGTGTTTAAGAACATATGTTTTTCATATGTAAGATTAACACATGTTAAATAGGACCATATGAAAAACATGCGTTTGCACCATATTTAAAACATATGGGGTGCTTTTCTTGAAGAAACCATATATTTCTACCATATGTAAAACATGTGTATCAGATATGTTTAACATGTGGTGCATATTTACCTATGTAGTAAGACCGATCAGTTTTTTCAAATTCTTTCTTTAAATCAACCGATTTTAACAAACAAAGGGGCGGGGTCGCCGATTGGTAAATGCGTCTGGCTAGTAATTGCTGGCCGAGTGGGATTTAACACAGTCAGCAACAAGCTGCTATTTCCTAAAATAGGAAACTTCGAGAACTGCTCAGTATCGGTTGGTTTGTGAGTGCGCCAATAAGAACGCAATATAACTGAAATAAATCTGTATCAAGTAACAATGCCTTTTGAATACTATATTTTTATAGGTACGATATTCAATTTACAAAAACTTTGAAGAAGTTGCTTGGATAGATTTTGATGGTATAGGCAGTAGCAACACAAAGTGGTTTGAAAAAAGCCGAATAATAAATTCAAGTTATCAAGATATTTCTTCTTCCTCCACGTTTAATTACCTGCAAATAGAAGCAAATATAAATGCAGAGTAAGTATTGAAATGTAATACATATCTTTCGCCAAAAGCAATTTACTAATTTTGATTCAAATTTGTATTTTTCATTGATTAAGTAATTATTCTTGATGCGCGTAGTTCGAGTGAAACCTCATTAAACATCAAGCAAAAAGTAGGTTATGCAAAAATAAACTTCTTCAATATTTATTGTTAAAAAATGAACGGAATTAAGAAAACATTATCATGATGTTTGTCCACACTTTTGTAAAGTATCTTAGCATGTTGTTCATTTGTTTGTTTATGTTATATTACCTGTCAGAATTTAAGTGTCAATCTGTTTTAAGTGTTTAATCTTACCGTATTTAAAACACTACACTTTAAACCAATTGGTTTGTCCAGCCAGGCAAACATATATCATTTATAGCAAGCTATTTTCTATAGTTGTACAAATCTACATATAAACATTAACAGATAACACACTTATTTGACAGTTTGATGTTTTACACTTTTTTTGCAGAAAACGACGTTTCTACGCAAGTGTATCTTTTGGTGGATGTAAAGGTGATATTTTATACTTTGTCACTGTTGATTCTGAAGGGAGTTGCTGGTACGACCAAATAATACCTTTTCCGAGTATTTCTTATTCAAAAACGCAAACAATGGCGAATACTAGCGAAAAAGGTTTGTTAAATGTGTATACAACACGTAGACTAGCAAAATTGCGACACATGCATTTTTATGTCTTTATAATGTATATTAGGCAATAAGGAAAAGTATGTATTTCTCACACCTTTTTTAGTGATTGAATGTGCTGGTCTTGTCAGACTTAGATGTAACGGGGTGAGGTGTAATGCCTGCTATAAACAAATCAACCGCTGCCTAACCTATAATTATTTGGGGCGTCCGTGGCCGAGTGGTGAAGGTCGTTGACGTCAAACCACTTATTTCTCACCGCTGTGAGTTCCAATTCTGACAATGACGTTGTATTCTATCATGTGCGGAAGCTATCCAACTAGCTTAAGGCACGTCGATGGTTTTACTCAGGTGCCCATTTGTGCCTAAAATAATACATACAAACGGAAGGGCGCATCAGATTTTCCTTCACCAGTTAAGCTTGGACGTTGCCATTAGACTTACTGTGTCTGTGTGACGTAAACCCCAAACAAACAACCATTTTAGTATTCCTAATCACATACCTGGGCCAATTTTGCAACTGTTCTTTGCAAATATTTTGAAGTCACGTCATTTACGTTCTACAAACATAGTGTTAAGACGCTAAATGTTAGCCTTACACTACAAAAGCACATGGATGAAAAACTGATTCTTCTAACTGGGAACAGTTCTTATTTTGGATATGTAGAATGTTCTATTCGTGTAGCGTCATTCTTTAATTAATTGAGTCAGAGGCTCGCATTACATTTTTTTATTCTACTCGTTCAATAAGTCAGTTTTGAATCTTCATATCGTAAATGATATACATGTAATACAAGATCTATTTAAGACAGCTATTTTAGTTAAAACATTGAGAGATTTGTAAACATGAAATAATGCAATGGTGTCAATTTATATTTTACTTGTTTCAGAAAACTTTGATTTTGGGGACACGGCTGTTGTGAGTTTAAAGTGACGTGTTTATCTAAAAGCACATAGGACAGGACTGTGGAAGAAATACCTTAAAATAATAGGGGCAAAATATAGAAAATAAGAATCACAAAAGAAAATCCAAAATTGAAAATGTAACAAGCTCGGTTTGATTGAACCTATTTATGGACGACACCGTCTAGTGCATACTACCGTTCAGCACGACTTAAGCAGAATTGAACATTTAACATTGAAAATTGCGAAATTTTGAATTTCAAAATATCTGCATATGTGTACATACGGCGGTTATCATGGAACGCCGATAAGCATGCAAGCCATCGTCAAAACCAGGCCTGTAACATTTTTAATTAATCCACATAGGACAACTTTAAATTTTGATTTTCCCATTTCAACATCAGCGGTTTATTTTTGCTACAAAAAGATTTCAATGGAAGGCACAAGAGTGACATAAACATTATTTTTAGTAATGTTTGACAATATGACAGCAAAGAAAACGATCTAGCTGTTTTGTAAAATATTTGCCGCTTAAAAACATGTTTCATGTAAAACCGTTTTGTACATGTGTTGTATACAAGCATGCAAACAATAGAACATTCATTCAAAACAACCTCCTGGAATGAGCTGCTACATTGTAAGTGGTTTTTAATTGACCCAATAATTTTAATGCATACCACATGCTTAGTGTTCAACACCTTTACAGTTGGAATCTACGCATTCCTATTTTTGATTGCAAATGACAGATTAAGCGGAAGACCCTATGATAGACAGTTCTTAACACTTTTTGGACTGAACTGTTTTAATTTTTGTCTTCTGTCCGTCTTCGCCGGGTCCCTGTAGGTGATTTTCTTGTTGCTCAGTCTTCTTTTAAGGCATTGAGTACATTTTAATGGTCATTCGACTGTATCTTTTTGTACATATTTACATTTATGTGTTTTATTCATTTCGTCTAATGTATCCATGATGATTTTTAGATTTCCACTTGGCGGGGATTCATTTGAGTTACACTGTCTCGTCATATAGGAACTTATCGGGCTAAGAGTGAGGTTTGGTGCGTCTATGACCGGTTTAAACGCCGCAGTGGTATTACTAATGACCGTTCCAAGGCGCTACCCCTCTGTGTTCCTACACATATATGTCTTGTGCATTAAAATTTTGTTAAATGTTTTGAATGTTTGCATGTTTATTAATGTTAAATTGTCGTTAACGGAAAGTATTTTCTTCCATTCCCCCCTAATTTCCCCTTACACCATTGTCCCTTTAATTTCAGTATTGGCATAATTTAGTACTCATCATACTTATAACATATCCTTCCGCTCCTTTCAACGCCACTTTGTCTACCAATTTTTAAGTCGGTGCCTTCTGGGTGTCCTTGTGTGACTGGATTGTGTCGGGGGCTGCGTTCTGTGAACGTTGCCTTGCCTTGGTGATCTTTATATCATATATCACTCGTATGTTTTCGTTACAGTTTGCTTATACATATCACATACTTTTGTCGGTAACGCTCTCAAACACTGGTTATGTCATGTTCTTGAATAAAACAAAGATATTTATTGCTTATGCTTTTGCATGTATCTCATACTTACATTGCTCAATTCTCTTATGTGTTTGTCAGATTTTTATTGCTAAATGATCCTCAATAAATCTAAGACTTTAGTTTCTATAAGTCGTACTGTTGCCAACTGCTCTTGAATAATGTCAGACTTTCGTTGCTAAAAATCTTGAATAGTAATCAGGTTACTTTGCTAAATGTTATAAGTGTTGATTTATCACTGGAAAGTCTTTTTTTAAAGATAAGTATGATATTGTGCATATTGACGTTATTAAATGCTTAAATTAAAGAACACAAACTATACTGCATATTCACAATTTTATTCTTCAAGTATAAAGCATGTTGCATTATTTTTTCGAATTTTATATACAATTTACAATGAACAATTACCAAAATTTTGGAATCATTTTAAATTCTCATTTTTCATATGGAATATATATATTTGTGCTATATTCAAAATTTTAAACTAGAGCTATACACAGCGTTGACTAATAAGCTTTTTCTTCACAAAAAAGATGTAAAACGTGTCTAAAATGCTTTTTAAAATAAGATAAATTTTTGTATAGCCAATCTAAGGAACTTTAAATGGGAAATTCTTACAATGTCATTTGCAATATTGAACATTATGTAAAATCGTAGGAAATGTCATCAAAACAAATTCCAAATTTCAGTAAGCTATTTCATATAATTCAAATAAACGGAAAGATGTTATATAAACCTGTTAACCTTATCCCCGGATTCCTAAATCGCAAGAGAACTTTATATGCTAAATATAATAAGTAACTTGTAAGAAAACTTCCTGGATAAAAATAGATTTTATATTCCAATAAGAACTTACATTCATATATTCAGAGTACAACGTAAAATAAATCGGAAACAAACTGGTTGAAAAACACTTGTTTTCGTAGACACGACTGTCATATAATCTGTTTACTTTCCTCAAGCTAGCTGGCTATGCGCGCACTTGCATGGCAGGATTTAAAGTCTTAAGCGGGATTCAAACCCACATATGCGAGAAGAAAGGAAGTATTCAAAGCTACCAGCCTTTACCACTGTTCTATGAAGGACCTTTCAGAAAATAAAAAGTGTATACAGGATATTAACCTGAGTTTACATTAAGGTATCCTACATATAATTAATATTGTATACTGATGTGAGACAAATGACAGGTTCATCAAGTGAGCAAACTTGAACAAACATCAAATTGTTCTATCTTATCGGTCAAACGATTTCATGTGATAAATGATGTCTGAAAAGAAATACAACTGCTACATTTCTTTCTTAAATACACTTTTCTGTCTTAAATCAGTAATAGCATTTTCATTCTACTTATATGTGACATGGATTTCTCTGGTCATGGTCATGCTATCTGCAGACCTCTTAATAACGAATGACATGCAAGTTATTGATGTTATATATTATTGTATTTTACCTGTTCTTAATGTATTTAAACATGACACTGTTAAGCTGATAGATTATTCGTAATTGAGTGTTAGCATCTCCTAATTGAAGGTAACAAGATCAGACATTGGAATAAGGAAGTATCCGTAGATAAATGAAAATACGATGTACATTTATTATGAAAAGTTTATTCATATGAATTCTATATTATATATATAATATTGTTCTTCCTCTCTCTACGTTTCCAGGCTGTTTGATTCGCAAATATATGGCATTAATTATCAATATAACACCTTTTGTTTCACGTTATTTTTGGTTCGGGTTAAAATGCCTTTTATCAGCGTAATAATTATTTTGAATTTTTCATTTTGGTTATAATGCCTTTTGTTTCACGCTAGAACGCCTTTTGGTTCGCATAACAACGTTTTTTTGTAGGTTAAGGTAAGCGTTGTTTTAATAGAGAACTTAAGCGTGTGTGTAAGATAACAAAAAGATGTTTAAGCATTCAGCATCAAGACGTAATCCATCTTGTAAGAAAATAAACACTTAATATATAACTGCTTATGATTTTTTATAGATTTATTTTCTGATACTGATGCACATTGTGATCAGACATTTGAAGAAGTTTTAAATCAGAATATTAATTTTAAAATGTTATGTTCAGTTTTTAGATTATGATGTTATTGTTGATGAGATTGATAAAGCTATTGGTAAACTAAAAAGGCTAAAAATTGCAAGAGAAGTCTTATCAATACCAGAAATTTTCATTGACTTCAGGCATGTCTTATCTCCTATCTTGTGTAAATTATTTAACTGTATATATAACAAATCTTGGACAAAATTAAACTTGTTCCTGTCCAAAAAGGGGGATACCTATAATGAGGATATCCATAGATGTATAATGTTAACTAGTAATCTTTTTCTAATGCTTGATAAAAGAGCACGTTTGTTTGTTGAGGATAATGTAATTTTAACTGACTTTCAGTTTGGTTTTCATCATAAAAAGGAAGTACTATTGATTGCATTTTTGTTTTACAGTCTTTGATCAACAGGATTATTCAGCATGAACTAAAGAAATGTTACTGTGCTTTGTTGATTTAAAAAGGCTCTTGATAAGTTTTTGCAGAAATGTTAAGCTATGAAATATCATGTAAGTCTATTAAAGTAAAATACAAATGTGTTAAAGCTGCATGCTTCCAAATGAGCCAAAATATTTCAAGAAAATTAAACTGAGGAAAAGGAAAAAAATATTAAAGATTCAAGTGATAATTTATGTCATGTGTGCAATTTCTGACTCATTTTTAAAGTATTTATCGCCATATTTCTACTGCGTTACTAACGCAGAAAGCGCTATTTGCAAATTTGATTGGTAATTTACCTGATTTATAAGTGTCCATCTTAATGTGTCAATTACTTTCTATGTTCACTTTACAATATTTTACTTTTTAATACATTTGATACAAAATTTTCATGTAAATTAGGATGAATCTGGAGGCGTGCTGCTTTAAGATATGGGTCCCCTCTTAAGGTAATTTAACTGATTATTTTGATAGTTACAATGAAGTTAAGCAGGGTTAGACATTATCTCCCTTGTTGTACATTTCTTTATAAACAACTTGGAAAAAGGTGTTTTATAGAAATGCATATATGATATCCTAAAACGATTTGCAAGTGTTCATGTTACATGCTTTTTGTCTTAACTGGAATATATCTATGAACAGAAATAAATCATTTGTGAAATGTAATAGACAAAAACATATTAATTGATAATACGATATTGTTTGGCAATAATGGCTTGAGGCAATTGAATATTCAGTGACCTTTTGCCGGTAATTATTGGATTGAAGTAAACCATACAGATTTTAACGTATGATACAACGTTAACTGCACAACACTTGACTTACATGTACCAGCCTCGGTGAGAAGGTGTAAGGCTTTCAGTTAGATGTAGGTTCGAATAAAATCAATTTTATGTTGTCTTGTACGAAATGTTATATTATTTGGCAAAAATTGAATACAATGATTTTTGCGTAAGAGTCACTTATTGTACGACTTTACATATTGAAATAAATGATATGAAAAAAATACTGTACTTATCAAAATGATGAAGATAAATAGAAATGCCAAAAATGAAACACACACTTTATCGTATAATATAATTAACATAAATCAAAAATCACTATGAAAACTGCAAAAAATGTTTGTCCAAGTTTCGAGATTGCAACTACACGGTCACAATTCCGTCGTTCTTACCACTGGGTCAGCAAGCAGTATTTATTGATTAATGTTTCGATATCTGTAGCATTATTAAATGTTAAGCCTAAGTCATAACAAATTTCAGAAACGATCGAAAAACTTGACAAAAATAAAGAGTCTCAGGTTAATATTGCCAAACAATAATACACCGTTGGATATTGTTTGTAAGTATTGTTATCTAGGTGTAACATTTTCTGCTTAAAATAATTTATCTGAACAAGCTTTTAAAGCTTTGTTATTATTAAATTCTTTATTTGACGCTGTTATATACACTCGCTAAATGTCTTCTTGGCTGATATAAAACGTACTAATTATACTGCCCAGAAGTAATTTAATAGGTGTATGACACATTGTTGATGTAAACATAATGTAAGGCTTAAGTATTTTTGGAGCATTTTTACACAAATTTATTTTATAATAAATGTACATTTGGTATAAGGGAGGTAACTTTTATACTATTAAAGCACAAGTAAAACAAACTGTTATGTCATCCTATGGTTAATTATCTTTGTCTTGTATGTGTTTGTGATCAAATAAGAAACAAAAGGATATTATCTTTGGCACTATACTGTAACTTTGTTGTAGTAGTATAGCTTTAATTTATAAACCAACATTTGAAGACATCGGCTAATTTACATACTTATGAAGGTTGGTGAAATGAATAGTTTTAAGTGACTTGATATTAATGAATGTTAATAAATGATATTTATGTTTATATGTATAACATAGGTTTAGTTCCCTTTAAGCCGGTGTGTACAGATACTGGTTTCTCAAATGCTGATATTTAACCGCCGCCATCATTTTTAAGACGACAAACATGTTTTTGTTCAGATGCTGAATAAATAAATTGACTTGAATTGAATACACGTTCAACGTCTTTGTTCTCATTATGACGCCTTTATTCAATTTATTATGCATAATTACGTCTTTTGTGTGGCGTTATACCGCCTTTATTTGCGTTACAACGCCTTTCGCTACGCCTTATAACATCTTTTGTTATATGTTACTACACCTTTTGTTCCGCGTACTTACGCCTTTTGAGTCGAATTGTAAGCGTTATTACTCCTTTCCGATATTTTATTTTATTTAAACTTGATACTATAAGAATATCTTAAAGGACGCACCAGCAGAATATCTGCATTTATTGAATTTTCCTATAATAACGATCTAAACAAAAACCAGTAGAAACTGCCGCAAAATGTTTATTACTTACCTAGACGAACTTGCTATAAAATAAATGTGAATACTTTCAGACTACATTGATCGCCAATGATAGAGTACTTAAATCACTTTGAGATCATTTCTGTCAAATATATCTATTTTACTGCTAGATATCGCCATATATGAGCATAGTGGTGATGGACAGAGACACTTTATCAACCTTTGTCACAATATATATAATCAAGGCATGCAATAAACCAAATGAAAACAAAGCTTACATGTGAATGTTACACTATCTATTCAGACAATTTCGTAAATTATAAAGAATACTGACATACATTTGTTTAGGGTTTGGTGTATGTTATTAAGTTGAATGTTACTGGTTTATTTGTGAGAACATTTTTACAGATAAATCTATAAATATTATGAGCACGTTCCGTAAGATCTATATATTCAGGGTCTTTGGAGTGTCCCCAATTAGTTTATGACTACTATTTAATCCCTATATGATTTTAAGAATAAAACTTTTGGGAACTAAACCAAGACCAGTGACAAAACATTATTTATGAGGCATCTGTCACAAAAAAACCCATATATTTAATTTCAATAACTTACATTGAAATAACAAATATCTTAAGTAGTGCATTTGCTCGTAATGATACCATTTTGAAGTTCCTGGAACTAACTAGTACTGAGCAATGAGTGTTAAGTTTCTTGCTAAAGGAAACAACGACTTGCCCCTGACAGTGTTTGAACCAATGGGCTAGCAATCATTTGGTTACTAGTCAGACGCGTTTACAACTCGACCATGCCGCCACTTTCGACCACGTACTTAACAAAATCTACTATGTAGTCCATGTCTACATAAAATTATTTTTTATGTTAAGAATGTTCTTGTCAATTCGCTATAAATGTTAACAATAATAAGTCAATTGTATAAGAAACAATATAAAAGGTTTTCAATTTTAATTTTTATATAAAATACGTTACGTTTCTATATGTTTATATAAAATAAACACTTTAATTGTATTTTTCTAGCTCATAAAGTGTAATAATTTGACTTATTCTAATTTCAAAGGAAAGCAAAAGACTTATGTTTACATTAATTTGTATTGTCAAAAACTCTTCTGTATTTGTAAAAACAGTACAAGATTCGCAAGTAAATTCGTATGATTTAAATTAATCTAGAAACCAAGTTTATACTCGCTGGCTATTCTTACAGTAGGCGTCTCTCTTTCTAAAAAAGTATACTTTTATCAGAAAATATAATAATATATTGTCTTATAAATGATAAATGACAATAATATAATGATATATCAAGGGTCATATCTTGTCTTGGGAGACTTGAAATAAAAAATGATTGTCATTTATGATTTATTATTTCCCAAGGCAGCAGAAACTTCGACGATGCAGGAACGCAGTGGTCAAAAATAAAAATAAAACCTTGAAGTTCATTTAACACTATTTTGGTCACCACAACCAATATACCTTTGGATGGTTAACGG